AAAAAAAAAAAAAAAAAAAAAAAAAAAAAACACATCATAGTAAAACCAATACCTTCTCAGCTTCGCATCGAAGCTAATAAAGAAATTTATTTTATTCTTCAGTCCAAAATAAAATATATATCTATCATAAGTGTAATTAAGAGAACTCGATTGTTTTATGGAAGAGAAACTACTATATGTAGTGTATTTTAATTAAATATCAAAAGGAACTGCAATATATAAGGCTTTAAAATTAACAATTCACTAATTATTTTTAAAATAAGATGTTTACTGTTGTTTATCAGTTCAAATATTATAGTCAGTTTTTTTTAAATAATCTGAACAAACTATTATTTTTAATTTTTCGGTATACTGAATTTTAAAATCTATCTACATTTTGCTAGTTATTATTGTAGTAAAAGATTACTACAATGATCAAACCAATCTATACAACTGAAATAATTTATTTATATTTATTATTTAAGTGAATATAATTACACAGCAAACAGTTTATTATTATATTAAGAACTATACATTGATTTATTATAAGGCCATATATTGACTCTTTTAAGACCCTATAATTAGGATTGAATTGATGCATGTTAAAGGCCAGTATCATAAATAAAAATAAATATTATCTGTATAAACTTTTATTAATAAATAATAATATTAAGTAATAAATTATATTTTATATTAAAATTTTGCACTGCATTTTCCAAAATTAAAGTAATGTTATTTAAGTTGCATTAAATGATTTTATTTTTTTATTTTTTTTTATTTATAAAATAATAAAATTTACAATCTGTACATAAGAAAAGATACAATAAGCAAATAGATGAACAATAGAATATAACACATTTGACTTAAAAACGGGAAAAAGGGAAGCTATCCAGTGATGGGACCCTTTTGACTTGAATTGGTTATTTAGCTATCACGATATTAATTTAAAAGGTCACGGCACCAGCGTCTTTTTAGACGGCGAGGAGGGTTGTCCGGAATTGTAACTGTATGTTGGTTAGCATTTAATGGATTTGGATGTAGAAGTAATTTAGAGTGAAACTTTTTATAGTATAATTTAATTAAAATATCGACTGGTTCAATGTTTAAATCTTTATGTAGGGTAAGATTGGAGACATACCAAGGGGCGGACGTGATTGTACGAAGGGAAATTGCTTGGAAGGCTTCAATTGTTTTAAACTGCGATGTTTTGGCACAACCCCATATTTGGGCTCCGTAAGACCAAATTGGTCTTAACATTGACTTATAAATGATTATTTTGTTATGTACAGGAAGTTTTGATTTTAATACAGGACATAATAAGTGGGATCTAATGTTTAATAGCTTTCTTTTGAATTTGAGATGAGGACCCCATGTTAATCTTTTATCAAGTGTAATACCAAGATATTTGACTTTAGTCGAAGAAGAGATAGGAACTCCTTGGAAGGAGAGAACAGGCATATTTTTTTTATTGAGAGTGAAAGGAACATTTACTGATTTGTCTGTATTGATTTTAATTTTCCAATTTGTGGACCATTTATCTATAAAGTCTAGGCGGAGTTGAAGAGCATTATAAGCTGCGATTGGGTCTTTATTGGAAGATAAAATGGCTGTATCATCAGCGTAGGTAGCCAAGGAGGTGTTTTGAGTTTGGGGGATGTCTGAAGTGAAAATATTGTATAAATCGACCCAACCCAACCCAACCTTGTGGAACTCCTGCTAGGATGGGAAAAAGAGAGGAATAAGAATTACCATAACGAACTTTAAAGGTTCTGTTTTCTAGGTACGAGCGAATAAGAAGGTATAGGGGAGCAGGGAGAAATGATATAATTTTATAGAGTAGGCCGGGATGCGAAACCCTATCAAAGGCCTGAGCTACATCGAGAAAGACTCCCGGACAATATTCTTTATTTTCAAAGGATGATGATATTATATCGACTAGCCTGTGTATTTGTTGTATAGTGGAATGATTTGAACGGAACCCGAATTGAGCGTTGGGTATTACTTTATGAGATTCTAAGATTGGTTTTAAATCTTTTCAAAATGATTTTCTCAAATAGCTTACCAAGCACTGGAAGCAGACTAATTGGTCTATATGAGGTTGCTATATTGGGGGGTTTGCCCGGTTTGAGAATAAGAATAATAATGGACTGTTTCCAAATGGTAGGGAAATACGAAAGTCTTAACATATGAAAAAATATAATATCATATTAAATATGAAAGTTATTAAAATAATTGTTTTTAGGGATATATTTTAAAATCTTATTCGTTATCAAGTCATGCCCAGGTGATTTATTGGACTTTAATTTTTGAATCACATTTACAATTTCATTTGGAGAGACATGTTTAGTAGGGAGAGACATAGGTAGTGGAGAATCTAAAAAATTATTTATTTTGATTAATTGAGAATTTCTAGGAATAATATCAAGGTGAGGTGTGAAAATATTCGAATGGTGTTCTCCAAAAAGATTGGATTTGTCAAGATCAGATAAGGCAAGCGAACCATCTATTTTTTTAATAGGACAGGAAAAATCTTTCAGTTTAAGCATATTTTTAGTGGTTTTCCATAATGACCGTCCTGAGAGTTGAGGGATTTGAATTTCGTGTCAAAGAGGTTGTTTTAATATTTTTGAATTATTATTTTTTAAGGAGTTAGATAGATTATTGAAAGTAGACTTGTCTGAGAGAAGTCTAGTTCTTTGTCAACGGGCGCGGGCGTTACGTTTTTCAGCAATTAGTATTTTTATATTGGAAGGTAAAAGAAAAGATTTTAATTGGAATTTTGAGTGGAATCATAAGAACATTCATGTACAGCTGATTGAATTGAGCTGACTAATTGTTGGGCTGCGGAGTCAATTTCGTTGCAAGACTTTAGAGGGATTTTTAAGTTAGTACTATTTTCTAAGGTTGAGGAAAATTGATTCCAATTTAGAGGTCCTTTGGAAAGGGAGGGGCGAGGAGGAGATTGTGTTGGAATTCTTCAATCTTTAACAAAACGGGTGAATGATCAGATGATAAGTCACATATATTATGAATAGAGTGATTTATATGATCCGAGATTGATGATATAAAAAAATCAAGTAAGTCGGATAGTCTATTCCTATGAGTTGGCCAGTAAGTAGGACTAGGAGGTGAAATAGTTGAAAAACCGTAAGATAGAATAGAATTGTAAAATAGCCTCCCTCTAGGGTTTTCAACGCGACTACCCCATAATGGGTGCTTGGCATTAAAATCTCCCCCAGCGATGAACTTGCGTCCTAATGAGGAAATAAGCTGCTCTAAGTGGGGCTGAAATATTTTTGGTCGAGGAGGACAGTATATTGCTGAAATAATCATAGGATTATGATTTATTGAAATTGAGATATTTGTTGCTTGGACAGTCTGTAATAGTACACTTGGTAGAAGGTGGTATTGTATTAAGGATGAGATGAGAATTGCAGAACCCGCATGTGCCGTACCATCTGGGTGTTTTGTTTTGTAAATATTGTAACCAGGAAAAAAATGTTTGGAGTTATCTGTGTAGTGTGTTTCATTGACTAGAGCTATATCAATTTTATTATCTATGAGAAAGTTTAAAAATTCAGATTCTTTTTGTTTAAGACCATTAGCATTCCAAAGAATGATATTAAGAGATTTATTATTAGTTTGATTATTTGTCATTATTTGGAATTAATTTGTTAATTACAGTGGTAAGTAATTGAATTAAGGGGTAAATGAGTTGTTTGAACTCTATTAAAAAAGAGGATAATTGGTTGTTAGATAAATTTTCTGGTGAGTTTATTTGAGAATCGACTTTACTTGAAAAACTATGGATTTGGGTATTTTGAGTAAGATTAAGAAAGATTTTATTGTCTGAAATGTTAAGAGGGGTAGAGTGAGTCCCATCATTGGATCGTAACTCCTGATTTTTTACAATAGTGTTAATATTTTTAAGGGGTTTGTTAGATTTGAGATTTGACCATTGTAAGTTTTTGTGTACTGAGCAACCACGGTAGTTTGCTGTGTAGTTACCTTTACAAAGAGCACAAGTAGGAGGGGTATCTTTTGATTTAGTACACTGTGAAGTGGGATGGAAGTCTGCGCAACGAACACATCTAGGAGGATGAGCACAATATCCTTTTGAATGACCGTATTCTTGACAATTTGAACATTGAATAATTTCACGACGTTTGTGAGGCTCTTCTACCTTTATTTTGCTATGGAGCAACGAAGTTAATTTGAATAATTCACTGTTGATTTGGGCGGGTTCAAGATCCACAAAAAATATTGGAAGGGGGTGTTTGGTATTTTTATGAAAAATATTTGTAACAATCAGCAACTTTCAAAAGACGGTAGATAAAGCATCAGTGTAACAAAACGGATCGAATGGTATTAATTTTGAGATAATTGCACAATTTTTAAGGTTAGAGAAAAATAAAATAACAGAGAACAATAGAACACGCACATATCACTACGGAATACAACAATCAATTGATTTAATTTTAAATAATTTTGTTTGTGCATAAAAAATAAAAAAAAAATTTTACTGGTCGTGAGAAAGTTTTATTTTGACTCGTATCATGTTGTTGTTAAAAACCCAGCACAGGGGGGTCGCGGCATAGTTGGATCAAGTATAATGATATCTGACAGTGATTAAAATCACTATAAAAAAAAAACGCTTCGATGCAAATCTTATTAGGTAAAGACATCATGCATCTATAAAAATAAGAATTATATTGATCCATACATCTTTCAAAAAGTTATAGCATTATAAAGTTAAAAATATAAAAAAGAATTTTTTTACAAAAATCGTATTTTTTTTATTAACTTTGATGTCTGTTTTCACCATGAAGATAAAATAAAGTCTGAAAATTTTTTTTACCATCATAAAGTATATTACATTAGCTTTAATTTAATATATATATAAAAGTGTTAGACTTCCCGGAACACTTTCAAAAGTTAAGTTGAAAAAGTTCTACTTTCTACATGCATTTTTAGATTTAAACCCCCCTTGTATATAGGGAAATGGTCCGATTTAAAAAACGGTATGTCGACTGAAAGATGTATATAAATACTACTTCTCATGAAAAAATGGTATTGATCCATACATTTTTCAAATAGTTATAGCATAATAAAATTAAAAATGTAAAATACAATATCGAAAATTTTCACACAAAAATAGCATTCTGTAGCCATTTTCACCGTGAAGATAAAATAAAGTCCAAAATTTTTTTTTTCATGATAAAGTATATTACCTTAGCTTTAATTTAAGATATATATAAAAGTGTTAGACCTTCCGGAATATTTTCAAAAATCAAGTTTAAAAAATTCATTTTTTGTGAAAAAGTTGTCATTTTAAATCCCCCCCTGTGGGCTGGTAAAGGGTTAAATTTATAAAAAAAATATACCAAATGATAGGTAAAGACGTCAAGCATCCACAAAGAAAATTTTGAAAATCAGCGATTTTTAAATTTGTAATTTTTTTGGAGGTTTCCTCCATTTATAAGGAACGAGGGAAATTTTTTCAATTTTGGAGGGTAATGTCTTCGACTATATACGATTTGTGATCTTTTTACGTATCATTGAAAGAAATCGGTTCTGTGAGAGCTGAGAAAAAGTGGTAACAGACACACAAAAAAAAAAGAAAACACAACATCATAGTAAAATTAATACCTTCTCAACTTTGAACTTTTGAACTTTATTACCAAAAATTCCTCTACCCACATTTAATGGCAAACTAGAAGAATAACGCAATCATGAATAAATCGATTAAGTGTTTTGTGTGCGAAGCCAATCATAATTTACTTGCTTGTGAAAAGTGTAAGTCTTTGTCTATTGCGGATCGTTTTGCTGTAGTTAAAGCTAATCGGTTGTGTTATATTTGTCTTGGTGCTCCCCACTTAGCTATGAAATGTAAAGCTGCGAAGTGTAATAGGTGTTCCTTCCGCCATCACTCTTTATTACATCGGGATTCAAAGGAGGCACCCTCTCAAGCAAGCATTGTCCCCACTACACTTTAGGGTTCTCTGCCACACATAACACGGTAATATTAGACACCGCTCTAGCACATGCTCATGACAGTTGGGGTTGTGTACAAAATTTAAGAATTTTAATTGATTCAGCCTCCCAGATAAGTGCAATGACCACTGAATGCGCCCAATGATTGGGCCTCATGTGGAACAAATGGACCGCATCTATCTCAGGTTTACCAAGTGTGAATGTACCCGGTATAGATAGCCTTGTTCAGTGCATTTTAACTCCTCGACATGCGAGCGAACCAAGATTACATCTTAATGCGTGGATACTGCCAAAGATTACTGGTGATATGCCTCATGGACCATTGATTCCCGACATTCAAAATAAATATTCTCATTTAGCACTTCCAGATCTTGGGTTTTACCAGCCGGGTCCAGTAGATGTACTACTCGGAGCAGATTTATTTTCTGACGTTATGGACGGTAAACGTATAATGGTTAGCAAAACGTTGCCAATGGCATTTGGTTCTGTGTTCGATTGGGTTTTAATAGGAGGAGTGAAGAGTACGAGTACATCCTATCGCCCGCATTGTTCAATGCTCTCTTCATTACACGTTTCTTTGGAAGAATTATTGGAAAAGTTTTGGACTCTAGAAGAACCTACCGCGAGTAAAGTTGAGGACACAGAAGATGGTAAATGTGAAGTCGAATTCAAGAAGAATTGTACTCACACAGTGTATGGCAGGTACAAAGTGGCATTCCGACAAGAAAACAATGAAGAAGTGTTACAAGGAAGTCGTCAGTTAGCAGTGCGCCGTCTTCAAAATGTTGAACGAAAATTGCAAGCTAATCCACTATTATATGATACATATCGCCAATTTATGTTGGAATATGAAACCTTATGGCATATGTCATTAACGGATAGCCATGGATGTTATGATATCCTACATCACGCGGTCGTCAAGTTCTCAATGAAGTCTGATGACAACATTTCTCTGCGGGTAGTTTTTGACGCATCAGCAAAAACTCTATTCTGGACAGTCACTGAATGATCGGTTATTGACGGGTCCCAAGTTGCAAAATGAAATTGTTGACATTTTGATTAGGTTTCGCACTCTGAGGTATGCATTCACTGCTGATATTTGTAAAATGTATCGTCAGGTTTTAATGCGACAAGATGACATACGGTTTCAACATATAGTGTGGCGACCCTCGACAACAGATTCTTTACGGGATTATCAATTAAACACGATTACTTACGGGGTAAATTCAGCACCATTTCTTACGTTACGAGTACTACGACAATTAGCAGAAGATGACGCGAAGGGTTATCCTGACGTACAGCAAGCCCTTTGTGATCTCACGTATGTCGATGATATATGTACCGGCTGTAACACCGTTGAAGAGGTACTGAGGTTGTACAAGAGGTTGCAGTCGGATTTAAGTTCAGTTCTTCACGGGGGAGGATTTGCTCTAAAAAAATGGACTAGTAATACAACGGAAGTATTGGAAGCGGTTCTAAGGACGACAGAGCAACGGAAAAAATGAGCTTCGATCAAAATGATCCGGCTATGGTTAAGGTATTGGGTCTGGTCTGGGTCACAGCTACCGATGAATTCGCTTATGAAGTCCACTATGATATTGAAACAGTAAAAGTACATACCAAGAGAAGTGTATTGTCTACAATAGCACGTATCTTCGATCCTTTAGGTTTTTTAGCACCAGCAGTGTTTGTAGCGTAGTGTATCACGTGTATACGAAGGAAAGGAGCCAGTCCTCAGTCGGTGATGGCGGATTTACCCGCGTTTCAGGTAACGGTCAGTCCTCCCTTTTCGCGAGTAGGAATTGATTTCGCCGATCCTCTCATTATGAAAGAAACTAACCTGAGGAAAGCAAGAATATATAAAATCTACTTGACATTTTTTGTGTGTATGACCGTAAAGGTAGTTCATTTGGAAGTAGTTTGGGACTTTTCAACCAAGGCATTTTTAGACGCATTGAGCAGATTTCCGGAAGACGCAGCTTGCCTTTTGAAATTTACTCTGACTGCGGTACTAACTTTGTTGGCGCTAATCAAGAATTAAAGAAGTTATTTGTGTCAGAAGAACACCAAAGTAAATTTATAAATGCCTTTCCTTGTCAATGGCATTTTAATCCTTCCGGTGCTCCTCATTTCGGTGGTTTGTGGGAGGTATCGGTGAAATCCACCAAAACTTTATAAGTCCGTACGGTAGGAAATACTGTTTTAACTTACGAGAAAATGAACACTCAAGTAATAAGGATTGAGTCTATACTTAAATCCCGACCATTGACACCCATGTCCCAAGATCCCGCGGATGTACAATGTCTCACTCCAGGACATTTTTTAATAGGTAGACCACTATTAGATGTTCCGGTCCCTGATTTTACCGGCCTAAGAATCAACTTGATTAATCGCTGAATATTGGTACAGCAATTAGGCCAGAGTTTCTGAAAAAGATGGTCTACTGAATACTTGGTTACTTTACCTAATATTAAAGTAAATGATCCAGTGATCATTAAACAGGATAATCTACCACCATTAATATGGAGTATCGGTAGAGTTACCAAAGTCTATCCAGGTTTAGATAACGTAGTCCGAACTGCGAATGTTTTGACAACTCACGGCATTCTCAAGCGGCCAGTCGTTAAGTTAGTTGCTTCAATTAATGATTAAAATATTGTCCATGTTCTATGTCACTATATACTCAACATTATTTGTATTTATCTTTTCTTATTTGTATTTTATTGTTCTTTATTCGTATTTATTCTTTATCACATAGCCATCACAGTAATCAATGAAACTATAATAGTTAAAGTCATCAGCAAGGTTACCCTCGGTTCTTACCTATTAGATTTTTTATTTTTTTATTTTATACCATTGTAATGTGTTCCAAATCATCTATGTTAGTTAATTAGTTATTTGAAGCTCCATGATTTTGTTCATTCGGCCTGTTAAACACATATCATATAATATCGGATCAATACTCCAACCTGCGGTTCTGTGTACCATCATGTTTGCAAAGATCCCGTCTTCTCAAAGGGGGAGCATGTTCAAGCCAGACGATAAGGCGTGGTGGAGACAATTAGTTCTTATCAGCCATTTTCATCACCAACTTGTTGCGCCGGCACTTGCCAAAAAAAACCAGTTATTGTTCCTATTTTTTTTTTTTTGCTATGATCAGTTACACAGCGTAAATTAAGTGCTGCCTTTGAGTTTGTTGCCTGTTATAATTATTCTCGTTTTGTTATAACTAAAATTATCGGTGACCGAGAATATTGTTTGTTCGACGGTATAATATTGCGGTTTTTGTTTGAAATTACGGTTTTGGTTCACGTTATTGAGGATTAACGTGTAATTGGCGAGGCTGAGGCGTATCGTATGGTAGCGACCTACTGAACATTTGAAAGCGTCTCGAGTCAAACACGAGTGGAAAAAATCAATCAACATGTTGGATCGGTTAAAAATATTTATTGTATATATATATATATATATAACATTTATTTGTGTGAAACATTCTTCAAGTAAGGGGTCGCCCGTTTAATTGAAATGAATATTATTACATTATTATTAAAATATTATTAAATAGCTTAATTAATAGCAAAAAAAAAGGTATTGTTTAATCTCTGGGTGATCGGCCGGCGATAGTTGTAACAGGTTTGTCAAAAAAATTAGTTTACTTCGATGTTTGATTTAAAACATTTTGTAGTCTTTTTAATCACTTTTTAATTTGACAATATTTTTGTATAAATCATCACTTAACCGTTTTCTAATTTCACTCATATTCACAAAATAATAAGAATATTTAACAAAAAATAAACGTAAATTAATAGCGCACCATAATGGAACTACGCAAACACTAGTCGATTTATGACAATATGAATATAATAAAGCTATCAATATACATATCATTAATACACAATTAATGAAAACTATTATGATAGTTATTAGGAAGTCAATATGTCATAACAACAATAAAAACATAACTCACCTTTTATAAATTTGTCTACCTTCAATATTTGCCGTTGTAGGCAGTTTCCTATAGTGCCTGCGTATTTGTTTATTTATTTCTTTAATGCTAAAACGTATATCTAAGTGTAACTACTAAAGAATTAGTAATTTAATGTTATTTTTTGTGAGAAATTAATTTCGTGGTGAATTAAAACTACTATTTAGACATTGAAATTCAGTAATAACTTAATCAAATTGTATCCCCCTTCATATTTTCTCTTGTGTACAATAATTATAATTATTATAATTGATAATTATCAATCGTTTACTACTAACTTTGTTGTGTACGAGGCAGCTAGACCGTAGGACGGCTAGCTGTGCACCGCACTAGAATGCCGTTTTACCTTAAGCCTGTTTAAAAAAGCGTTAATAATGATGTGAGTGGGTCACCTAGGAGATGACGGGTAACTATATATCAANTAATGATGTGAGAGTGGGTCACCTAGGAGATGACAGCTAACTATACATCCAATAAGTAAACGAGAGTAGACAATAATTAAATAACAAATAATCACATATATTAGAAATTCCTCAGAGAGTATCTTAAATTTAAGGGGTAACGGGGGGCCCTTAAATACTAGTGGCCGGTGAAGCGGCATAAAACAAAATAATAAATCTCAATTAGAACAAACAATAATTAACATTAAAAATAATATAAAACTCAGCTGTATAGATGACGGTGTTGGTGATGATGAGTGGACTGTATGAGATCTTGTGGTAATGGTGTCGAACATCTGAGTATGACGAGTCAGAGTGTAAATCCAGGTACGTAATGGCAGATGAGAACAGACCGCGAAAAGGCGACTACGACAATGAAGATATTTAGTGATGGTCAGGGCCCAATCACTAGTGGCGTGCAAGGGCACGTAAACATTGAGCACAAGGGTGCAATAAACAAGAAATAAAAAACTATGCCGTACAATGGCCGAATAATTTACTATTCAAGCGAAGGCGCTTGCAACAGAAAAGGAGTGACACGTAAAACAAAAACGACTGACTGACTTATGACAATGAATTGTACATGGATGAAAACCGACACGGAGGTCATCGATTTGCTGTGATGGGTGCGCAAGGGGGTGAGTAAAGCAAGATGCTGGTGATAAGCTGTCCCACGAAATAATATAATCAATGATCTTTATAACAACTGGTCAACTAGATCCTTCTAAAGGCGTTCTGTACCATACAAACTTGCTATCGTAATAAGAACTCACCCAGCTGACCACTATAGTACCTGTTTACGATTCAACCGATCCCAAGTGCCAATCGGATACATGCAATGTTGTCGGCGTTATTTCCCTTGCAGTTAAATGATATGTATTCGTCGCGGTTGTGGCTGTTTTTTAAAATGTATTTCATCAATAATTACAATCTCCCTCTCCAGTCACTTACATGTCATTTTTGTTTGTGTGATTCGAATTGTAATGGCTGCATAATTTTCACTTGGCAACCAAACTATGGGCGAAAATCATTTGTTAGCTAAGGCCTGGACATCATTTTGATTATGATCGATCATTGATAACTTGTACAACATTTCCTTATCCCTGTTTTATTTCGTTCATTACTTTCTCTTATAGGAAGAAAAAGTGTCACCTCCCATTGTCACGAGGTTTTCTTTTAAACATAAACTTTAATTAATCAAATACATTTGAATTATTTTGAATTTACAAGATCTCCAAACAGGATTCTCTTCTTTTATACACAAAATAAACAATTAATTAGGGAATATAATCTGATTATTGTACAGATTCAAAGTAGCGCCTTTATGTGGAATCACCGGCCAATCGCATTTAACAATTAAATAAAATCTACAGCTGCGAAGATCACACTAGGGATCGCTACACTACCCTCCTCTGACTTCAAAAATCCATTTTTTCTTATTAAAATCAGTTTTTTCGATAATTTAAAAATACACAAAATTATTGATACTCTACTGAAGATTTTTACTCTCTAGAACTTTTTTTAAAATTTAATTTGAACTTAAAATATTTTTCCATTTAAAAACACTTGTTTTTTTTTAAATTT